TCTAAAAAATATGAATGCAATGATAAATCACAAGTGAAAACTCATCATATTCTGTACATTTTGGGTAGAATTTATTCGGCAAAATTTTGAGATAACACCATTAATTTTTTGGGAGGAATAAACAAATATATTTTGATTAACAATTTACTATGCTTACAATAACTTTAAAACGTCTGCAAGATTTGCAATTCTTGATTTATTCAATAAAATAAATTGACTGATTCATTAATTTTTTTGAGTCACCCTCTATAAGCAGATCTAAAAAATATGAATACCATGATAAATTACAAGTGTACCTAGACTGATCATATTTTGCACATTTTAGATATATTCGGCAAAATTTTGAGATGACGTCATTAATTTTTTGGAGGAAATAAGCAAATATATTTTGATTAGAAATTTACCATGCTTATCATAATTTTAAAACATTTGGAAAATTTCAAAGCAGTTGGTATTGCAGAACCAAAATTAAATTGCAAAATGTTTTATACTTCTGATTTTTTTTTCCAAAAAATCTGGAGGTTTCGGGTAAAACTTCAACACAGCATCATAAACTATATGTGCAAATTTAAAACCCATTTACTACGTACAATTTCGGCCCAGTACTTTCGGTTTCGGAGATTATCTGTCTAGTAAAAATCTGGGACGGCAAACAGACGGGCAGACACACAGATAGACAAACAGACAGACAAACGGGCACTCAAATAAACGGAAACGGGAGATCTATTTCTCCGTACTATAGAGGTCATGAAATGTCGAGAAAACATAAAGTAGAGAGTCGGTTGGGGGACTCAATTGCAATAATAGTATTTAAAACACCCCATGACCTTGCAAGCGACGTAAACTTAAAATTTTATGAAGATACAAATATTTTGCCGTTACAGTACATCGCTTGTTCGTAGGTACTATTAACCAAAAGAATCTGATCTTGAACACTTGTTCATAGCAAATCGAAAAGCGAGAGGTCATTATTTACAACCGTTGCGAGATTTGCACATACATAGATATACCAGATACGTAGATAATTATCAGTAGTTCAGATTAAAGAAAATTCTAAAAGCAATACTTGTGTAAAATGTAAAGCACTTTTAGTTCTCAAGAAAAAATTGTAATTATTTACTGTATTTAACAATTAAAACCTGACGGCGCCGGCGACCAACATCGTATTTTTCAAGTGGGTACACTCAGTACGGAGTGGACGTTATGTTTGAACTAATTAATAACACTGATATTTAGAATAATTAATGTTTTACTTACCTACTATTCCAAAACGTCCAGGAAGAGAACACAATCATATATGTACCTTAGAGGGATATTTTTGTGGTTATGTTCACAAAATTGGCGGAAAAGAAGTTATAGACAGACGCGGAGTTCTGTAAATTCAGCGGATTTCGTGAACAGTGCCGTAGACTAGCAACTGTAATTAATGACCAATAGACCAGTGTCTTCCATGGTATGGGATTTGCAATCCTCGACCGTGTTAACAATAATTTTGTTGTTAGAATGTTCATTATCTTGAGCTGATTGTTTATAAACACATTTTTTTTCTTTCATATCATAATATAAAACTAATATACTTTTTCTATCTTGCATTAACAACGGCCTCATTGTTAAACCGAAAACAGTTTAACAAGGGAAGCCTTTGTGAAACTGTTTTTGGTAACAGTTTGTTTTGTAATGTCGGTTTCATGTTTTCTAAAACGTCACATGCACGTCTAATCTAACCGGTGAAAACCACAACTTCGTCATTTGATAGTGTTGCCATCCAGGTTGCCATCTACGTAAATCATGATAAAAGAAAACCCTGAAATAATAATGGTAACCAGATTTTCAATTTTACTTCATAAAATCATAAGCAAAGTAAAAAAAAATGTATATTACAATCGTTTAATACATATTGTAGCACTCGTTCTTTGGAGCACACTTCGCAGCCCTCGTTGTGCCCCAAACAACTCCTGCTACAATAGAACACCTTATTAAACTAGTACATATAATATTAATAATATACTATAGTATTGCTTGATAGCTTGTGCCTCAGATTACTACCATCATAAAATAGTATATTGTTACACATATTTCATCAGGCGATTATTGTTGCACGAATGAGTTTTGAGCACGACGAGCGCAGCGAGGAGTGGCTAAATAGAATGAGTGCCACAAGTCGTCTTATGAAAATAGTGTTTTTTCACTAGTAGCCATGAAGAATGCAATTGTCGACTTGTTTAGAGGTAGTAAAGTTCAACTTTTGCTACCAAAGTTAAAAAAGAAGATTGAGGTTATGTATGAAATACTTGATGTGATTACTTCTTAAAAAATGAATAAATGTGTGCTACTAACATTACTTGAGAATACGCATGGTAGTTGGTGGACGGTGGAAGATAAAAATGATTAATTCAGCGACAAGTGTAAACGGTTTTCTTTGTGTTGAAGATTTAGGTTAAATTTGATTAGAAATCAAAACAAAATCACTCTACGTCAAAGAAATTGAAGGTTTATTTTTTTAATTTATTGTCTTACGGTTTCTACTGGTGAAAAATATACTATTTTCCTGTAAGATCGTAAAACTTCCATTGACTATATATTTTTTAAGAGACTTTTTTTACGATCATAAGCTAACTGGTGGCTACTTTTACAACAAAATAGAGTTTTCTGTATTTGCATAATTTTCGAAAGAACTCAGTTTGTCATTGAGAATGAAGAATGCGGACGACCAAATTTAGAAAAGTATAAACTACTGCGTTAATATAAAGCAACAAATGCTCTAGAATATTTTTCAAAATAAAAATAATTAAAAGGTATGTGTAGTAAAATGGAAATAATTTTTAAATGTTGTTGTAGTCATGGTACAAGAATGCCTTCTTGTCTTCTTGTACCATCGTTGTAATCATTAAAGATAAGAACATGTTGAAATGAAAAACATTGGTATTATCTAGTTGATGGTTTTGATAACATAATGTAGATAATGTAGTTACATACAATTTGAAAAGCGAAAAGCGTACACACAATACATGCAGGATTGCTAAAAAGGATATTACTACATATTTCTAGAACGGTATATCAGAACTCATTGAAGTGTTATTCAAATTTTCATCATCATTTGTTTTGGAGATACAAGGCCAACTTGTTGACTTTTACGTTTCGACCTAAGCTAAAAAAGTTTTGTAATAGGGTCCATCGGATGAATGGCTGATTTCAATTTTTATCGACGTTTCATGACTAGAATACGAAAACATAGGTCGCGCGTTTCCGTCTGTCTGTCTGCCGTCTTTGTCAATGTATATTAGACAGATAATCTTCGCAATTATCGGACCGTTGTGGTCAAATTTTATGTACATACTATGCATATCGTGTAGATGGTAAAGCTCTAACCAAACTTTGTCTAATCATCCTCGCCAACGATGTGATGATGTCACCTCCAAATTGTACATAATACATATTGTTTAAATTTTATGAGGTCATACTCTTAAACTATACGTGTAATTTTTGATTTTTCACCTAGACGTCCAGATTTTTAGAAAAAAAAAATCAAAATTGCATAATATTTTACAACATAACCTCAAAACTGCAAAACCGAAAATTGTACATAATAGAGTGGATTGTCCTCACATCCTGTCGATGATCAATTTCTATGTACCACGTTTAAATAATCGTCATGCGGTGACATTTTATTTACCTAAACCGTTCTGTGCCTAAACCTAAGACTAACATATTAAAAAATCTCCAATAACTAACCTATATCGTTGTGCTAATAAGTTATATCAGATTATATGATGATATTTTTGCTAATGGAATCAAACCAATAACTTCTTAAATTATGTTTTTGTAAAATATTTAAGTTTATTTTCTTCTATTATAGTAATTTAATTTATTTTAAGTTAATTTAATTGAATTTTATTTTATTGTACATGCACACTAATATATATTTTGTCCTGTTAATGGGAAACTGTTGGGCAATAAAGCTATTATTATTATTATTATTATTTTGTCATTGCTAAGATGTTGATGACGTCATTACAAAATTTTGTAACTGAAAAGCTCACTTGAAACATACCATAGCATGCTTTTTGCCTTTACTTTAACACGACATTTCTTTTTAGTTTAATTTATAGAGGTTATCACAAAAAAAAATAAAATTCGCAAAACAAATTTTATATGTACCTACCTAATTGTTCAGAAAAACTGGACATGTTGCATTGTCTTCACGGGCGAGTGAAGTTTTGTCTAAATAACTTAAACAATTTTTTTCGTTATGAAACTTAGGAGATATAGATAAAAGTAAAAATAGTAACAATAATTCAAATTTTATTAAGAGGCAAATTTTGGCAACAACACTTACCTAATAGCCTTTCCATGACCCACTTGGCCTACAAATATTTATAAACATATAGGTATAGTACATATATTTATTTTTTATCCTATATTTTAGAATCATAATCTTGTTTATGAACACGGGCTTAAATTGGCCTTTATGGCACACATCAGTCGAAAATTGCTAAGTAACGATTGATTATTATTCATTTACATTAATTAATTATTCAAACAAGCTTCGATCTTCAACATTTTTATTACAGTTGGGAAAATAATACTTCATCAAATCATTCCCTGACAGACTCCAAATTCCTCTAAAATTTCTTGTCAATAAATGTTTTCCGCTTCTTCAGTTTGCATTTTGAAAATCGAAATATTTAACGAATAAACGAGGTAGTATCCACAACAACATCAAAATAATAGTCAGCTATGTACTAAAATTTGCATCGGCACAATTCACAAACTTTTGCCGGAAAAACTCAATATTTTGTTAAAAATATTTTAGAAACTGAAATAGAATAAAACGTTGTATGTACCACAGGCACAATTGTCGATTATGGCCCTCGGGAAATTAAAAGACCTCCTTCGTCAGGCTTTAAACATTCCCTCGTGCCACAATCTCCCTGATTATGCCCTTAATACATGAATAACTATTTTTTATCTCATAAAAAAAGATGCACATGGTGTATTAATAAAATTTTTATTTCACTGTAACGATTTTAAATAATCACGCATTGTCAAATAAAATGCAACACCACAGTTGCCATCTTCTGCCAAAGGATCAGGAACAATGTTGATAATTTCTTGTAGAGTTAACCAGTTATTGTCTTGAAATTCTGGTACCACAATATTGTTATCAGTTATCAATTCTGGCAGTGGACCTTCTTCATCAATGCCATATTCAGTAGGATTCTCATTATAAAAGTGATCCTCATGTATGTCTTCAAATTGATTTTGTATCATACTTGTTTGCCAAAGTTGCATTGGTGACCTGTTCTGCATGGTACATAAAGAGTGATTATTCCACTGATTAACAAATTCATCTAGAGATTTTTGTATACAAGGAATGAAAATATAATGTAAGGCAAATAAATCTAACTCATTTAATTCATCCAAAACATCATTTTGTTCCATTGTGATGAATAGCTCTTTAAACTGCTTGCTTACAGTCCTATTTACCTCTGCCCAAAGTCTTTCAATTCTTTGATTATGAACTGAACGTCCAGTAATAAAGCTGCCTCTATTTAGGCCTCGGTGTGCAAGCATATACTGTGCCACTAAAACATTTTCTGTTCCATGATCACCACGACATCTACTAGGCAATCCATACTTTTGCACACCATTTTCAAATAAATTCAAAACACTCTTTGCTTTATTGTTTGTTAAACACTGTAAATATATGATGCACCTACTATACCCATCAATACAACCATGTAGCACTAGTCGAAATGCAATCAATTTATGATTTGAGTCAATATGCCTAAAAGTTCAATACTTTAATAAGACCAACAAAAAGTAAATTAACTTTTTGTAATTACCATAAATAATTTGCTCCTTTAACATTATAAACCCGTCTTACAATGGCTGACCGTTTTCTTGATAATCTTCCTATTGGATCTATAATATTCAACTGTTCTCTAATTCTCCATCTGGAAACAGTTAAACCTCTAGATTTTATCCCTCCAATAACGTATGTTTCACCAATATTTGGTGTTGTTGATAAAATTTCACGAATTACATTTTCCAGTTCTACATCATTTACAAATCTATTTGGTTCACAAAAGTTCAAGGCATTACGATGTCTTAAAAGCGTTCTTGTCGAGACATTAAGTAACTGTGCGATTTGTGTCCAGCTATAAGAATTTCTTCTTAAAAATTTGAGCTGCTGCTCATAAATACAATATCTTGGTCGTCCTCGACGTCCTCCACGAATAGGACACGCATAACCCAGCGTTTGTTCTACAGTCGAGTTTTCTTCGAGTTTATTATCCATGTCTATGTGCAGTAGATACAACTTATCATACAAAGATCCCAGACGCTCATTTAAATTTTCATTTGTATTATTTAAAATAATAATATTTAACATTTGACAATGTTCTTCCAAATTACAGTGTAATGTATTTAGCCTATACTGATCAGCTCCAGATAACGCTTCAGCCGCTGCCCTTGCATCACTTAATATAACCTCGAAAAATGTATTAACACAAAAAATTTCACCATCCATGATTTATCATAACATTATTTCAAATATGTACTAGCAAATCACACCTGGAACAGAAATTTCAACCTAATACCTATTACCTGTCTTATTTGTATTTGTGCGTACAATATTACTGTAAGTTTACTTTGAGGCTTTGAGGTTAACTGAGGTTAACACAAACTGTGGTTGCTGCGGGTGAATTGCGGAAAAATTATTATTGCTATTTAAAGGATTTTTTCGCGAATTCACAATATTGTACAGTGAACCGACATTATGCTAGCCGGTGCATTTTTGTCATACAAATGATTTTCGTGAACAGGAGGAACTGCGAATAGGAGAATACATGATAGAAGTAAATATTTTATTTGTATCATGAGTGAATATATCAATAATGACGTCAATGGTTGACGAGTTGATATCACAAACTAAACAACGGGTAGTCATTTTATGCCCGCACTGGTGAGGAGAGTAACCACCGGTTATGTTTCTGATTATAGTAGTATAAATTAAGACATAAGATGATATGTATAATACTATAGTAGTAGTATTAGATATATAGGTTAAGAGAAGGGCCAAAGGTTGGGATCATGGTACTAACACGACCAAAAAAATTCAAACACCTAACTTGCTCATATCATCGAGTTTTATTTAATTTTTCAATTGTATTTGTTAAATTTATTTTGTGTCTGCTTTAGAATGAACGCCTCTGATTTCCTGACGCCTTTTAACATCAACGTGACAGAGAAATTGCACTTACAATTGAAAAATTAAATAAAACTCAATGACATGAGCAGGTTAGGTGTTTGAATTATTTGGCCGTGATGGTACAAGAAGACATGGTAGCATATATGCTACTCCGGCTACACATTGCCTTGAATACCGTGCTTGAAGCGCTCTTCTGACAACTTCGAAAGTTATCAAATGTCAATTTATCAGTGACATATGAGGTTACAAGAAAGGTTGAGATTCGGCTCAGTTTTTAATAATGGGTTAACTTATCTTCTAAGGTCCTAAGTGGAAAGCAGATGCTAATAACGTGTGTTCTAAATTTGGCATCATTCGTTGATAATGATACTGCGAAGGTACAACAAGCCAGAATTTAAAGTTGGCGGTTATGATAGCCACATGACGTCATAGAAAATGCGCAATATCATGTCTTCTTGAACTACCATGGTTGGGATAACCGATTCATTTAACGGCGGGCACAAACGGTAAATCGCGAAGATTTGCTTTTACTAAATTACTAAACTCATTATTACTTTAAGCGATTGGCAAACATGGGTGATCAGTACTTCACAAGTGTGGTGAATTCTTTTATTGAATTATTTCGGATGACGAGATAATACTGAATTTTGTGGAACATATGGCATGACTGAAAAAAATCCCCAGATTACAAATTAGAAGAGACCACTTTTACTATTGAAATGACGAAGAATTTTACATAGGTTATCAAAAGAAACGGTTGTTTACTTGCTCAAACAAATTAGTAATATTATAAAGCTTGGTACTGATTGGTATGTGATTAAATAAACAGGTTTATGCGTTCATAATAAACATTGAACTTTTAGGAATCATACATTTACACCAATGGAAATGCTGCTTATTACCTTAAGGTTTCATGCATCGAGAAGTTTTTTAATGATATTTGGAGATTTTGCCACTTACGATACATAGCAGGCTGCTTCTCGAGACAAGCTTCAACTGGACAAACTTAAACTATGGTTTTAACCATTTAAGTAAGCAGAATGGTTGATAGGGTTGTGTATATAAACAAAAGGTATGATCTTGTGATTTAGAAATAAATATATATTTTTTTAGGTAATGCAAGTAATTACTAGTTTATGAGTGCACTACACATAATAGGTATATTCCCTGCTACAGATCAAGAAGAACGTTCGGTAAAACAAAAATTTTATAACAGCACGTTTTCCTCCCATTGTTGGAGCACTTGAATGTATAAACAAAGCCCTTGAGTAAATTTATGATTGAAGTTGATCAAGACTCATAACCCCAACAAAATGTCAAATGGCATAAATTTAGATACTGCAAAAGTTCAGAGGCTGTTGGTGGTAGCTGCAGTAATGCATAAAATAACACTTGATTGTAATGAAGATGATCCACCTGCACCAGAAGAAATTGTTTTTATGAAGCAAGTAATGTGTCGTTAGACCTTGCACCAAATATTTAACAATTTTGTTAAAAATGGAGTAACATTTTGAAAATTTATAAAATGTGGTTTGTTTTATTTTTTGCGTTAATACTTCTTTTTTTGTAAGAACCTTTGGAGCTTGAGTAAATGTTCTCTTACAAATACTGTGAAACCGTTTGTCAATTTTTTTCCCAGCATATTTGTAACAACTGCAGACGTTTCGGTCTTTATTATAATAATAAATTATTTTATTATTACAACTCAAAATATAATACGCGATGTCTAAGTACATATAGGTCGACAAAATTGAACTAAAATGATAACTATGTACCAAACAGCTCATTAAGTAGGTAGTTTCAATAATTTCGTTTTAATAGAATTCCTGGCCGCCTCTCTTACTTGAAACTTGAGTTTTAACCTAATCTTCATGATTTGAACTAACCCTTCACGTTGGATTAAATTTTGAGAGAAATCATAAAGTCAACTAGTTTTATCTTAAACGAACCTTGAAATATACGTTAATCCAAGTGGTTGGTAGTTATGCCAAAAATATTACTTTAAATTAGCACTGATTACCAAATTATATTATTATTATTATAATTTATTAATAAATTAAATATTTTCAATCATGTAACAACGTGTAACAATACAAATATATATGTATATGTGTTACAGTCGAAGTGTCCATTCCATCAATGTATGCACTAACCAGCTGTAATGGTCTAATGTATACATTGCCTAATCTGCTCAGTAAATGCATTCACAATAGACAACATGTAAACTTCGATTAGTCGATGTATAGTATACATTGATGGTCAAAGTGTACAGAAATATAAAACTATGTTTGAATAAACAAAAAAATATATTTCTTTTTATTTAAATTATCTAGATAAAAGTTAATTTATTTTAAAACATATGCATTACTTAAAAGTTTTTGTATGTGAAATACCTACTTGTTTTAAGCCAAGTCAACATTTTTATTCCTTTGAATTTTTTCTTCAGAAATAAAAAAATGTTTACCTGTTGTATTTGAATCTGAATTTATTTTTGGACAACCCTTAATTTTTTTTATGATGTATGGGTTGGCAACTCCCAATAGAATAATTTTAGTTGATTATTTCTCTTAGAAAACTGCCAAATCTTTATAGGAAACTGTAGAACAAGGTAAATGCAAAACGCCATCTTGTGTAAGTGGTAGTAACGCTATCTTGTATATTTAAATCTTGATGATTTTACGCCCGACATAATGCAATTGGCGTGTTGCAAGTTTTCTTGCTCTACCATTTACATTGTTGAAATATATTCAATCCGAATGATACATTTGTTAATAAATTCATGAGTTTGCAACAAAAATGTAATATATTGGGTTTGAAACTGATATATTTGTATTTTCATTTTTGTCTTGAACGGCGCCTCATACAAACATATATGCTGATTTATAGTAACATGTAGTCTGAAACCATGTTGAGCTATGTATAACATAACGATCAAACATGTATAAAATTACTTTGACTTGATTGAAAAAATCTGTTTGTACAAACAATTTCTAAAAACATTTTATTATGTATAGGGACGATTTATGTAAGCACATACAATTAACTCAAACCATTAAGTCATATTTGTTTTAACATGTAGTGCTGTAGTTATTTTGTATGTCCATTTTGTTGGTACATACAAATACAGCAAACTTGCTTTTACGTTTAGGGGGCCCTTAAGACGTATGCACTCATTGCCTCGTTTTGGCATGGATCTGATAAGATGATCAATATCCGGCTGAGGTACCGCATCACATGCGAACTATACCTCATATCGTAAAGCTTCTAGGGTCTGTGGAGGATGCATAAACGTTGTGAGCTTTTTACTTATTACATCCCATACATGTTCAGTGGGTGAACGGGGTGGCCATGGCAAAAGATTGACTCCCACAGCTTCAAATTGATTTAAACTAAAACGTGCAACGTGACGACGGGCGTTATTCTGTTGAAAAAGGGAGTCGGGAGCGTCTGAAAATATGGCAAAAGATGGGGTTCTGCAATCTTATAGATGTAACGATGAGCATTCAGGTTGCCTCTAACAAAGACTAGAGGTGATCTGCTTCCATGCGCCATGACACCCCATACCATTACCCCCACAGTGCGATGCACATGTCTTTTCATTGCAAATTGCAAATTGCCCCGTTCTCCTCTGCGTCTTCTCAGCCTTACCCGACTGTCATGCATTGCCAAACACAATGTTGTTCCATTCAGCATCCTAAAGCTGTCGTTCTCTGCACCGTAGTAGGAGTAGCCGGTCACAGCGGTGTACAGCCGTAAGCGGCAGCACATAAAGAGGACGATACGAGAGAACTTCAAAGTACCGTATTCGCCTGAAAATCGTTCGCACTGTGACTAGTCGTCCTGTCTCAGCCAACCATTATCTCCAATTGATCGGGGACAGTCTCTTAAAACTTAAAGTCTAAGATGGCGGTCTTGACGATGTGTTGTTTGCTGTTAACCTTCCTCTGTCCATGCCCACCAACATTCTGAAATTGTGCTTGCGCTCCTCCGCATTATGGTTCCAATTTCCCGGAACAATTTTCCAGCTTCTCGCAAGGCCATAATTCTTCCTCTATCAAACTCGCTACGTTGACTGAAATTACGACGTCTTCGTACAGGAGACATCTTGTCAGAGTAATACAGAACTACCATACACCAAATTCGATGACAGTGACAATAATAGCCACACACGAGCTGATGTTTTCTTCCATGGTTTGAACAAAAAAGATTATGGTACAGACAAACTGTCCTCCCGGTACGACCCAAATTATCATTATTTCTTGTACTACTGATATCTAACTTATATACGACATTTGGTCAAAAAATTCCAACTCGTTCTCGGTGTTCGGTTTTCCATGTTGGTTAGTATATATGTATCATACTTATAAAGGGTGCCGCATCCAAGTCTGGATGTAGAGAATTAACAGGGGAAATTGGTTTTCATTTTATAATATCTCCCCAGATCACTTTAAAGCTATTATTGAGTGATGCATTTGTGGAGATCGAGGAGGGCTATAGGCCAGTATTTTTTTCAAATCGTTGCATCGCGCTTATTCACTGTAAAATGGTTTTAAAAATCGTATTTTAAAATTCACGCGCTACCCGATTTGTCGCGAAATGTTCCATCGCACTGTCGCAGTTCGGCGATCGCGTCTTTGGATTAACCATGCAAAATCCAAATGTCAAAGTCAACTTCGATCACGGTTTCGATTCTAACTCAGAAATCACTGAACAACTCAAACTGAATTATTTTATTCAGTGTGATGATTATTGTAGGGCAAATTAAACGGAATAAATGCATAAAGTGATCCATTCATTCGTCATAGTACGCGACCCCGTCAAACGAGCCATCTTCAACTACACTCAGGCCGTATCCAAAAAGCCCGAGATGAAGACTTCGAGCAGCTGGTCTTCCTCAAAACCTCATCGGCAGCATTGTGACATGTCCTGGGAGCCCGTCAAGCTAGCTATGTACTCGCGCTGCCTCACTCACTAATGACTGAACGACTCAAATTGAATTTTTTTATCCAATATGACGGTAATTCATGAAAGCTAACATTGTCATAACAATGTTGTAAGCAGTAGTGGCTCGTGGTCTTTTTGTTACGGGAGGCAACATTTTCGTTACAAAATCAGCAGGTATTAATTAACATGTTCGCAATTACTGTTGTTAAAAGACAGACTGTTTATTATATTAATTGAGTCAGTAACAGCTCTATAAATAGGTACACTTCTCAAATAAAAACATTTAATTGCTTTACACATGTAAAGACTACAGAATATGCTTTATTAGCATTAAATATTAATGATCTAGGGCTGATTTAAATATATTAATCAATTAATTACTAAAGTTCAGCTCAAATCTGGATGGTTCCTAAATCTTTGACATACAATTGATGCTCGTAAGAAAACCGTGCTTATAAATATTTAAACTTTATAAGAAATTCCATAATGCCGTTAGAAAATTAGAGATTCGTATGTTCCTATCAGCACTGCAAGACTGACATTTTCATTGTCCTAATATTTTCAAGTTAACTTAAAAGTTTTAATACATAACCTTCGCAATGCACATGCAGTGAACACATTTTCTCGCGGCTAATTAATGCACAACTAAATGCACACTAAATACATTCAGCATCCCTGTTCAGCATTGTGCAGGTTCACTGTGAGATTAAAAAATTCGATGTGATTGGCTTAAGGATGGTAGGCGTTGGTGCCTCCGTTGAAGCTTTGATAAAGCATTGCTGACTATTAGTGTCTTTCTCAAAAACATAATAGCATCACTGACTAATCATACTGAAGATATCCGGTCTATCTGGCCATGCCTCCGGTAAAAGCTGGCCTACACTGTGACGATCAGCGTTTATTCCTGTCGAAAGCGCGGACAAAATATGTTACCAAGACGCGTTTTAATAAATCATAGTGTTCCATAAATGTTATTTGCTATATCTTTAAAATATATTTGAAGTTGACAGATATTAAAACAAAAACTAATATTCAATTTTTCCAGGGGACGCACTGCGTCCCCTGCCTCCCCTGTCGAGGCGCCCCTGGTTGTAAGATGTATCTATATACACGTTAGTTGATTTTTTCAGGGTAAAAATTTACAAAAGGCACTTCTCGATTTCGCACAAACTGTTTGCACACAATTCTTCTATAGCACACCCTGATTACGTTCCTCTCCTTCAAATGCTTTGCAAATTATTGTTTTTGCCACAAAAAAATTGTTAAAATTCCTATTTTTACACAATGGGAAGCTGTTACCAACATCTCTAACTCTTTATAGCCACCAACACGAGGGGGTGTAATGTCGAGCTTTTAATGGACACACGGGCGCTTCGCGCCCTGCACCCCATTACAAACATACCCCTAAACGTGGAACTTCTTGCTCCGTGGATCATTCAGATAATGGAACTCGTGCGAGTAAATTGCGTGTGTAGTTGGTTGCCTACATTTGGCGCAACTAATAATAATGTGCAAACCATAGAGGGAACACTAAATATTTTTTTCTGACAGAAGGAGGCATTTGCACAACTTTTGAAGGTGAGGAACGTGATCAGAGGGGATGTAGAAGAGTTTTGCGCAAACAGTTTGTGCGAAATCGAGGAGTGCCTTTTGTAAACTTTCACCGGAATCA